GCCATAATCCACTGGAGATTTTACTGCTACTTAAAGTCGTAATCCACTTGAATCCACAGCAAATGATTGCAAAGATTGACCATCATATTATCAAAATACAGTTATCCAAATAAGGGCTGATTAGGCTCAGCATGAATACAATACACAAGCAACGCGTCAGTTTCTAAAAGCTGCTCTTATTCTGCATATATTATTGCATATTTTTACAAAAAGACGGCGCGAAATCCTCGGACCTCGCGTAGGAAATTTTTTCTTACCAACAAACATTTTAATTTCATAACAGTTAACAACATTAATATGAGGAAGAATTTTTAGACAAATGTTAGTCTAAAAAGAGAGATTTCGTTGATAAATACTTTAAAAAAATCGGACTTTTCCAACAACTTTTAAGAAATGAATCAACAGACATATTATTAGATATCTGTTCAGGATTTCTTGAAAAGCCAGCTTTTTGCGCCATGGAATTTACACGAGAAACAATGCCTGGCGCTCGATTTTATGACGGCAAAAAATTGAACATCCCTGTTTCGACTGAAGCCGGTCTGGATCTGTACGAACGTTGGATCCACCAAGGACTCAGCGGTATCATGTCTGCTGTGGCTCGCAAACGGTATTTTAACAAGAATATTTTTTTCTTCCTCTGAAAATGGTGTTTCCAGTCTAACTCCTTGTGCTTTTCACTTTTTTATGAAAAAAATTGCGATTTGGTTTTTTTTTCCTGATTTTTTTGTTCATCCGTCCGTTCTTTTTATGCGTTCTTTGCATCTATGCAATACAAAAATACACATTGTTGAAGGGTTACTTATGTGTGTATGTGTATGTCCGTGTGCATGTTTGTGTGTTCACCCGCACCTATTTATCACCTCGAGACCTACAAAACTACATGGCTAAAACTTTGGCTACTTAATCTAGATCTGTTTGCTGCCCTCTATTCTCATATAACCGCACATGTACAGGGGTTCTCACGTAGGCGCGTTAAAGGTTTTAGTGGGAAAATTGCAACTCAGGAACCAGGGAAGCTGGACGATTAAAATTTTAAAGGTTTGTTCCTTGTCCAATTGTATTACTGTCCTCAACAAGAGAAAAAGCTAGCCTGAACCCACAAGCCGCGAAACGACGCATGCAGCAGTTTGCTGTGCATTTATAGTAACTTACAGTGGCCGACTATCAAGCAACGCAGCATTAGTCAGAAGAGCTGGGAAAGTTGACAACCCTGTACTTGAAGCTGGAGAAACATGCTATAAAGAGTAATTGACTGTGAAATTATATGTATTAAATTTGTAGCGCGAAGGACCTCAACGAATATCATCGCAACAAACTCTACAAATGTTCGAAAAACGCTGAAAATGTCGTGGAACAGGCTCGGTGTGTTATTCAGGCTATCGATGCCAAGATGCCCCAGCCCCCATCAAACTCAAATGGTTTATACTCTTTGCTTTCATTCAGAATCTGCGTTTTACAATATTTTTTAAAAGTAACTGGCAAAAGTTCCTTCCAAGATAGACTTTATATCAGAAGTAATGCAGAGTGGGACTTTGGAATTGACCAGCTATGTCAAAAAAAAGATCTTTTTTTAATGCAGCAATTCACCATTCCTGGAAAGAATCTATTATTTTTATGTGCCTTGTACAGGTAGAATCCTATAGAACAAGAGTTTTGTCTGCGCAAGGGGAATAAAGGGGAAAAACGCGGCGCTACCCATAAAAGCTGGGTAAGATGATGGCTAGTGGATTCACTGAAAACTGGCGTATAATATGTCTCATACGAAAAGCAATGGTCACTCAAAGGGTTTGTTGAAATTCTGTACACATTGGTGACGGACGCAGCATGTTCTAACCGGAACTAACTAGTTAGCGAAGGAACTGGTATTTTTCATGACCCTTGGTATTCTGATGCAGAGCCAAGCTTCATTTCCATGGACGAGCATTTTTTGCAACTACTGCATATCTACGGCTAGAAATTCGCTTTTAGGCCCATCGCGTTTGAATGTCCTGCGAAGTCTCCTCGAAAATCAGGAACAGACGCCGATTTCGATGACGGTCACTACGGACGTCATTCAGCGAATTGAGTTTCGCACAAAACGCAACGTTGTCAATCGTTACAATTATCGGCTACTTTGGGAGTACGAGACAAAAACACCATTCGGCATTCTCGGCAAATACCTCTCAAGAACAATCAAAATGATCAAGAATAAGGATCAGCAACAGCAATCGTTAGCGCAGCTTGTTTTTTTCCAGTAATTGATAAGGATTAGAAAAATAATGAATTTAACTTCAATAGTCGGTCAGTAACAAAATTTCGTTGCTGACTATAAAATACGAATATATTTCAGTTGGTCAGCAATGATTGCAAAAATGGAGAATATACAAACAGTGATTGCCGAAAAACAGCAAATTGGCGAAGCCTTGAAAACCAGACTCAAGTTTAGCAAACCACGAAATGAACGGGTAGGTATTTCAGTGGTAAGAGCCCACAATGGGTATTTGAAATTCGATTCTAATGTCGGGAAAAGCATATG